TGAAAAAATACGGGAGTTAAAGGTACCACACTGTATATTGAAAGGTCAAGTTTATTCGACTGGCAGCCTCTTCAATATCGTCAGAAACACAATTCCTCACTATTGTTCTTCATTATGCAAGACATTAAACACCAGCAATCACTTTGAATGTAACTTTGAATAAAACGCGTAAGCTGTAAGCAATACTGTTTCTTGCTAACCAGGTAATTCGGCGTCACCTGACACGGCCACTTCACAGCAAATGAGATAACATGAAAAAAGTTAACTGACAAGAGATGTTGAAATGTGTTTTATAGAAATATTGAGTTCTCCCATTTTATTATGAAAACAGGACAGTTGTATAAAAAACTCTGTAGAACAGTCCAACTTGTAAAACTTGTGGATAGTGTTAGGAATGCCTCACTGGCTAACAACGATATTGAAACACTTATAACACCACCAACTTTATAACATTTATTAGTCTAGTCAACAACAATGTCAGTTTCAGACTGCCCCACTTAAACATATTTCAACACACAAAGGAATGTATCATCCTCTTATGTAAACTTATCAGGTGATATTCAGGGCTGTCCCATCCAGTACTCCCAACAAGATAATGTCCAGGGCTGTCCAGAGCTCTGATCCTAACGCACTCCCTAACAATAGTGTTATTAATTTTCATCAAGTGATGGGTCAGTCATTCATAAATAATTAAAAGTGCCTCCCAAATTCATGTACATCAAAGTGATCATTCATCCGGAACTCAGCTATTAATATCCTTCATATCCATTCATGAAATTATTTTATTTTCTGTAGATGTTGTCCAGCATATCACTCGACTTTTTGGGTTGCTTTTTCCGGGTCTAAGAACTTTAAAGCTGACCTATATTGCAGCCATCCATTGTCTGTGTCAGCCTTTGATATAACCTCATCGTTTGAGCGATTTCACCTCTGAGCAGATCACAGTACGGACATTTATTAGGCTATAGATCTATACTAAGGGTATCTAAAAATACGCGGTCAAGGTAAAAGAGCGATGATCAATACTAGTCCTTGAGACGCTATTATTTGCGATATTGGAGATATCTATTTGCGTATGGCACGCCAAGAACGTCTAAATTTCGGTGCATTGACTTTGTTATTGACTAGGTTACATCACTGATATTATGCTAAACAAACGAATATAAAAAGTCTTTCTACACCTACGTTGATGATAGTTGACACGTCTAAAAAGTACCCAATTATTAGTGAAGTAGATATATTAATTGCATGGGTTTTTGCCCTCAAAGACTCGACCGTATGAATCCCGTTGCAGGCTATAAGGAATAGAAAAAACTCTAATTGTATATTGACTGTTCTTCAAAAAAAAATAATCACAAGTTAGAAGATAATAAATCTTGTTATTCGAGTTTTTTTTTGTTCATTTCTTCTATACCTATTATGGGATATAGGTAATGATCCATCATTTGGTGAACCAAGGGTTCTGGAAGGTCAGTGAGAATATTCATAAATTCTAACCGAAAAAACTGGAAAAATCAGTTCACTTATCGATACCACATTGATATCACATACCTATTATTCGTTGTTGAAGATATTTCTCACAAATAAGAGAATAATATGTTTCTTATTAGTCAGTGGTCTATGCAGGCGTCAGTGCAGGAATCTTCATAGAAAGTTTCCTGCATATGCAATTGGCAATACAACTGAAAACTTATTCACTGGTATCGCTTTTTCGCATTGTTCACCATCGCTATTGGAATCACTACACTTGAAAAAGTCTGCTTTGTTATCACATTCGTTATTACTATTAGTACTTGTCCAAGGACGCCACATTTTGAACAGATAACAAAAATTTCATGTAATTATAACTGCACCAATATCGAATTTCAACACTCAAATCGCGATCAGTTCCTGAACAGAACACGACGGCGATAACCTTTCCCTCTTTCTATTCGTCAACGTAACATGACTTCAAATTTAATTTTGTAACTCTTCAGCCAATCATGAAACTCGGTTAGTAAAAATTATTGTATACGTGGACTATTTCGCAGTCGGTTCATTTCTGTGGATTGGTTTTTTGGCCTTTGAGGGTGCCGCCAACTTTAAGAGTGCTCATTATCGTTTGCTTCGACTATAGAAACTTATAGCGTATGTGGCCTATGCGCAATAATTCTTCAGCACTGATTTTTTTATTGATTTTTACGAAAATAAAGTGTCCATAGTTTTAGGTTCCAATTGTTTTTTGAGTTTGAGATCATTTACATTTCTCTCCTGAAAGACGACTTAGTATTCCTCCACATTTCCATCATCAGTCGTCTTTTTTGTAACTCACCCTCTTTAAAATGTACACGAATGCCTGTGAACTATAATTCAACCAGACGAGACCGTTTTCATTTAATACAGATGTGACGTTTCGACATTGGAATATACCTTTATTTTGGCGATGATTGAGAGTGCACAGACATTTTTACTGCAGTTTTTACCTGTGATAAAGCAATTGTAAAAACGTTTAATCGAAAACAAAATGAAATGTTTTGAATGCTGTCTTCGTTGATGTCGTGTCCCAACACAATAACAACTTTTTCTGTTTGGACTCATTGCATTGGAATTTCAGTAATTTTTTCCTATGAGGTGACTTTTATATTCTGCATTACTTGTGAATTTGGAATTAAAGTTAGCACAGATTGTTTCTTGATCAGAATGAACAAAATCGAGGCTGGCAGACCAAACTTTTCATCTGTTACTATGGCAAACATCTTCAGTGATACATGGGCTGACTGTGAGGACTTAGGTAGCATTTCAAAGCAATAACTGACTGAGGAGCTCAATTTAATTCAAAACGTTTATCGTTTTATTACAAATGTTTGAATCAGAAAACAAGCACTCTTCTCGACGCGCTTGTATTGAATTTCTGGTGATTCAGAAGAGTGCTCGTTTTTGGATTTACCTTACGCCAGAGGTTCCAGTTTTATATTTCACAAATGTTTGAATTGCGATTGGAATCCTTCGTGGGCTCCTTATTCCTAGGCTTTTGCCTCTTCATGGTCGAGGTTAGTTTGTAGTTATTCTATGTTATACTATCATTCCAAAATAGTAGGCACTAAATTCTCAGAAATGACAGTCGTTTTTGCCTTGATCTGTCTCATGCAGTGTTGTACGGATATTATATTAAACAATTGTGGAAAAATGAATTTAAGTGTATTGCTAGTATTTGAAAACTATACTCACAAATGATAATTGAATTATATGTAAATCACTATATTGATATAAACAATCAAAAATTGAACTAATAACACGAGATTGATACAAATAATGAAGGTAATTTTCTTAGAC